GCACTTAAACCATGCAATTAAGGCAAATTAGCCCTTCATTAATAACTATGGATAATTTTTGTTAATTTTAACTGTTGTGGATGCCAAAAGAGAGAAATGACTGTCACGTACATATATTGATAATTAAAAGAAAATAAATATTTTCAATTTATTTGTTAATTTCATTTAATTATTACATTAATGCATTAAAGCATCGACAAACAAAGCTCCAAGTGCTAATTTACTGCAATTTCTGTAGTTCAGGGACGTATTTACTTTATTTTATTGTAATCAATCCTTTTCCTGGCAATCTTGGTAAAATGCGGTCGGCAACGGATTACCAAAAATCAATATTCTTTGGTATGGTTTCAACTGCATCAGTCAATTAACACAGGTGCGGTTACCATACCGTGCGTCCAACCCGAGTCCTAATTAATTAAATCACTTTGCAATACCTGAAAAGCTGTAACTCGCTACTTTGATTAATGAAAGCTACCATTTTAAACACATGACCACTTGCTTTAAAATGTTGGAAGCACGTATGTGCAATCAAGCAGACAAACAATGCGAGTAAACTGAGATTGCTTTCTTACTTTTAACTCATGAATAGCTGCATTAAAAATGTAGAAGTATATATGCAACTTAAATGATGATTGATTGACGGAAAAAATACAATACTGGAAACGAATTTGTATCACCTAAGAGATATTATTATATTAGTGAGATATTGATGAAACTAAATATCATACAAGTTTGAATGCCATTATAAAACAAAATGAATTTTACATTACAAGTAATCATTATTTTCATGAGATTTTTTGAAATTTAAAGTTAATATTTCATTCAATTCAAAAAATTTCCATCCGTAGAATGGTGAAATAAAAACCAAGACTTTAAAATGCATAGTTCCACCTTTGTTTGAGATTAGCTTTTACAATTTTTGTCTTCACAACTTTTTAAGAATCTAATACATGTTTTCATAAAATTTTAATGAATTTAACGATTAGACAAGGAAAATAGTGAGGAATGGAGATTGGAATCAGAAATTGAGGGATAATATTAGTTGACGGTGGGAAAGATAGGAAAAGTTGGTGTCATATATGTTGGTGGTATGAACCGCAACATGCACGTTTTGGAAAAATGATATATCGGAAAGACCTGATGAGACAACCAGCAGGTGTAGGATCTCTTAGGTTCATCCAAGAAAATGTTTTATCATTGCTAAAAAAGTAAAGGTTCAATTTATGTTGTGTTGTTCTTATTGTTAATTTGTCTCCAAATCTAGCTTCAATTGCATTTTTTTTTTCAAAAATAATATGTCTAACTTTTTTCAATCTCATTTTTGCGATAGAATTTTGCATCTATGATTTGATTTAAAACAAAAAAAAAAAAATTACAAACCACCCTTATTGGAATATTTACACAATTACACCCAATGGAGGGTACAAATTAAAATAAATTAATTATTATCTACAATTATTTTTTTGAGGGGTTGTTATGTATAATCATATTATAAAATCAGTGATAGGAGTTAGTTCATGCATTTGTAGCATGCATTGGACTCTAAGGCCAACTTTTTTACAAGCTCTGATATTGGTACAGATATGGCCTACAGTTAATGCATATCCTACTTTCTTTTTTTTTTTTATCAACAATGCACATCGTACTTATAATTCAAGTAAAATGACAAAGTGCACATCTTGAGGGATTTTTTTTAATTTTCGAACCGCCAATTTTGTTTATAAAATAAAAGGGCTACTCCTACACTTTCATAGATACTACAGTTAATGGTTTCCTTGCACTGTTGTCGAGGAAAGCACTATTAATTGGAGGGACTCTTTACTTCCTCCAATAATCTCAAATTGTGCAACCTTTTATGCGACTCGCATTGCATTTAATATTCTTCTCCTGCTCTTTACACTTCCACTTTGTCCAGCCAAAGGACAAAGCATCTACAACTGCAAATGTAGCGCCCACAATAAAGATATATATGCTTTTATGCCTTTCTTTGCCGACAAAAGAAGCAAAGTGATAAAATCAAAGTATGAATGGCAATGATATGCGCATGAAATCCTATACTTCTCATTGTGATTGCAATATACATATATACAAACTGTCAACTATAATCAAGCCTAAATCAGTGATTCTATATAGGGAATGCATTTACTGGTATGGATGCATTTATTGGTATGAACAGCAAAATATCAGAGATTAATGTTGATTGATTGATTTCCTTATTCATCTCTTTGATATCCGGCTATACTCCCCCTCAAGTTGGAGCATGAAGGTCTCTAATGCCCAACTTGCATAGTAGGAAATGAAGTCGTTCCTTGCCTAATGCCTTTGTAAACCGATCTACTAGTTGACAATGAGAAGGCACATGAGCCGTGAGCAACTCTTTCCTTTGAATGCGTTCACAAACAAAATGGCAATCTATCTCAATATGTTTTGTGCGCGCATGAAACACAGGATTATTGGCAATGTGTAAGGCAGCTTGGTTATCACAAAACAATGTCATTGGCTTTGAGTGATATATCCCAAGATCATAAAGCAAGGACTTTAACCAAGTGAGCTCACTTACAGTTGATGCCATGGCCCTATACTCAGCTTTAGCGGAGGAGCGAGAGACAATTGATTGCTTTTTCGATTGCCAAGAAACAAAGGAGTTTCCGAGACAAATATAGTAACTTGTTGTTGAGCATCGTGTCCGTGGGCAACCAGCCTAGTCTGCATCACAATAAGCAACAAGATATGGATGACTGGAAGAGGAGAGTAATATCCCTTGTCCCGGTGAGTTCTTAACATAACATAACACTTTCATTGCTGCATCAAAGTGTTCCTGTTTGGGTTCCTCCATGAATTGTGCCAAGATTCCAACAGAATAGCATATGTCTGGTCGTGTTATTGTCAAGTAAAGGAGCCGACCGACTAGCCTCCTGTATTGTGAAGGGTCTGGTATATGTGAACCAAATGCAAGCTCGAGACGATGATGTTGCTCCATGGGAAAGGAACTAGGCTTTGCCCCAAGCATGCCTAATTCCGTGAGTATGTCGAGAGCATACTTTCACTGGCTCAAAACTATCCCTTCTGTTGTTCTAGCTACCTCAATTCCAAGAAAATATTTTAAGGGACCCAAATCCTTTATAGAAAATGCAGAATGAAGATAGTGTTTTAAGGTTGCAATTCTGGCTCCATCATTGCAGGTGATGACAATATCATCAACATAAATTAATACTGCAACAAAACTATCAGCAATGGCCAATGTGAATAAGGAATACTCTGTCTTTGATTGCTTAAACCCAACTGCTTCAAGAGAGGTTGTAAACTTTTCAAACCAATTCCTGGATGCTTGTCGTAGTTTGTAAAGTGATTTCCGCAACCTACAAATTTTGTTGCTCTGGTTGCAAGTAAAACCTTGTGGTATTTTCATATATACCTCTTCATGTAAGTCACCTTGCAAGAAGGCATTATTGACATCTAATTGATGCAGTTCCCAGCACTTAATCGAAGCAAGAGCCAGTAATGTCCTCACAGTAACCATTTTAGCAACAGGAGCAAAGGTCTCATGAAAATCAAGCCCTTCAATTTGAGTGAATCCCTACGCTACTAAGCGAGCCTTGTACCGTTCAACAGTTCCATCTGGCTTGAATTTGATCTTATAGACCTATTTGGAATCAATTGCACGTTTGTCAGGAGGCAATGTCTCAATTGTCCAAGTGCCATTCTTCTCAAGTGCAGCAACCTCTTGCCTCATTGCTTCTCGCTAGTTTTCATTTTTAATGGCTTGAGAAAAGGATTTAGGCTCATCTACAAAAGAGATGGCTGCTAAATAACTGAGATGAGTGGATGAAAAAGAATTGTAAGAGACACAATTAGATAGAGCATGGGGATCACCTGAGTTAGTTGATTGAGATGGAGCTTGCATAGGCATAACAGACTGGGGCATGGTGCAAACATAATCATCAAGCCTTTGAGGGACACGCTTCTCATGTTGTGGTCGAGGAGGTCGGACCACTTGATCTTGATCTGGGTGGTTTGTATTGGTCTCCAAATCAATGTCGGCAACTTGTGCTTCTTCCATTGTTTCGGACTGGTTTTGGTTATCAATGGTGTTATCTAAGACACTATCATCAAAAGCCAAAAAATGAGTTTCCAAGTTGGGTGGCGTGATACCAAGGGAAGGTGAAGCCACACAATCTTTATAATTATGAATAGATGCATATGGGAAGATTTTCTCATAAAAAACTATATCACGTGAAATGAAAATTTGATTAGTTTCCAAATCATAAACTCTATAACCCTTTTGTCCATAAGGGTAACCGATGAAAATACATTTTGATGCTCTAGAGTCAAATTTTCCACGATTCTTGGTGTGATTATGAGCATAGCAAAGACACCTAAACACTTTTAAATATAAATAACCAGGAGTTTTACCAAAAAGTTTTTCAAATGGTGTGAGACCCGAGAGAACAGGGGTAGGAGTTAAATTAATTAAATAAGCTGCAGTGAGAACACATTCACCCCAAAATTTCAAGGTTAAATTAGCTTGAAATCTGAGGGCACATGCAACCTCAAGGAGGTGACGATGTTTACGCTCAACAATGCCATTTTGGTGAGGCGTATAGGCACATGATGTTTGTTGTATGATACCTTTCTTAAAACAAAATTCTTTCACAACTCCTTCAGTGAACTCTTTGCCATTGTCATTGCGTATCTATTGGACACTAGCTTGAAATTGAGTTTCAATCATATGGCAAAAACTTATCAAATATGATGCAGCTTCTGATTTGTGCTTTAAAAGATAAACCCATGTGCATCGTGAAAAATCATCAACAATGGTTTAAAAATAGTGTGCTCCTGTATTAGATTGAGTGGCATACCTACCCCATATATCACAATGGATTAAGGCAAAATAGTGGGTAGAGACATTATTGCTAATAGGAAAAGGCAATCTTGTTTGCTTGGCACAATGACAAGTGTCACAAACATGCTTTATTCTGCTTAAACATGTAGGCAAAGAAATTATTTTGGCTATTCTTTCTATGGATGCATGGCCTAGTCACTGATGCCACAACTCCAAGGATGTGTCCTCCTTTTGCTTGGTGTGACTTGTTGCAGCAACATGCCCAAAGTCACAATAGTATAGCCCTCCGCGAAGCTTACCCATTCCAATCAACTTCCTCGAGGTTAGGTCCTGAAAAACACAAAAGTCAAGGAAGAAGATCACAGCACAATTAAGTTGCTCTGTTATCTTGCTAATAGAAAGGAGATTGCATGCAAATTAAGGAACATGAAGTACATTGTTCAATGTAAGTTTGTTTGGCAATATAGTCTTTTCTATACTAGACACTTCTAAGGTGGTGCCATCGGGAATATGAACTGGAGAAGAGTAAGGTTTTATGTCTTGAAGTATGGAAATATTAGGTGTCATATGGTCTGATGCACCACTATCAATTATCCAGGGAATTAAGTTTGTTGCCTTACCAGCTAGGTTGACGGAATGTTTAGGAGTAGAATTACCACCAAGAAGCATGAGGAGTTGATCATACTGCACTTTAGAAAGTCCTGCAATTGGTGACTGATCCAGTGAATCTCCTGCCATCTGTGACTCATGTGATGTATTGGCTGCAAAAATCAACTTTTTCTCCTGATGTTGATGCTTTTGGTGCTCCCCCTTTCCCTTCAGTTTGGCTGGCCCTATCTTCCAACCAACTGGGTATCCAATGATTTCATAGCATCTCTCTTTAGTATGACCAACCTTCTTGCAATGATCATAGTGCGGCTTCCCTGACATGGAAGATTTCCCAATGTGGTTCATCTTTGCTACCAAGGCTGTTGCTTCTATAATTGGACTTCTAGATGCAGCCACTGCTTGTTGCTTCTCCTCTTTGGTAGTCATTGCATACACCTTATTCAGTGATGGGAGGGGTTCTGTGCTTAAGATCTGTGACCGAACAATTGAAAATTCTCATTCAGTCCCATGAGAAATTGATGGACTTTCTCTGTTTCTCGTGCCTTCATATACTCCTTTGCTGCACCACATGTACAACCACAAGTGCATGTCGGCACTGGCTCATTTGCTTGTAGTTCATCCCATATAGGCTTCAATTTTGTGAAATATGCTGTTACTGATCTTGACTGTTGTGTGGTGGTTACAAGTTCAAGTTTTAATTCATGTACTCGAGATGCATTTCCTTGTGAGAAATGTTCATGTAAGTCATTCCAAACCTCAGCAGCACTCTCGACATAGGCCACACTTCCCTACAAGTCCCTAAAGAGAGCATTAAGTAACCATGAAAGCACCATAGAATTGCACTTTGTCCAAGCCTGATACTCTGGGGAATCTACGTTTGGTCTCTTAAGGCTCCCATCAACAAACCCCATCTTGTTCTTTGCAAATAAGGCATTCTGCATACTCCTTCTCCACGTGTGGTAATTCTCCCCGGTCAAGGGAGTCGTGACTAAGACCCTCCTTGGATCATCACTAGAATGGAGAAAATAGGGTGAATCCGGATCTGTTGTCTTAAGGATACCTATCTCTCTGTTTTCCATTTTGGATCCATTCTTGGCTGTAGTGTCAGTCATTGTCGATTGTTGAACGCAGCAAAACCTTGTCGTCGAAATCGATTGCTTGCAACAAACTCTTGCTATCGATTGAACCTTCACTGCTCTGATACCATGATAAAATCAGAGTATGAATGGCAATGATATGCGCATGAAATCCTGTACTTCTCATTGTGATTGCAATATACATATATACAAACTGTTAGCTATAATCAAGCCTAAATCAATGATTCTATACAGGGAATGCATTTACTGGTATGAACAGCAAAATATCAGAGATTAATGTTGATTGATTGATTTCCTTATTCGTCTCCTTGATATCCGGCTATACAAAGAACACATAATAGTATTATAGTCTCTCTTTATATCCTGCGTGCATTCCTCTGTGATATCATCACTGCAAGCATTGTTTTCTTAATTCATTCTTCTGCTTCTGCCCATTGATGAGTTTTCTTTGATGCTACATATATATAGTTCTGATTCTTTGCTCTTTTTGTTAAAATAATATCCTTATACTTGGGTCAAGTCATTTTAATTGGTACTGTCAATTTTAATATATGATCTTCTTACGTTAGGTTCATCTTTTTAGAAGAAATTTAGGTTTAAATACATATGATTGTGCTTTTTAGAGTTGTGTTTAGAAAAATAGGTAATTAAAATTATTAAAAAAGTAACGCAACAAAATCATTATAATTTTCATTTTTTTATATGTCAAACAATGAATTATATAATAAAAGATAGCTTTTATTTTTTTAAATCATTCTTTGGCTTTTGCAAGATTAAAACTTGAAATTTTTAATATGAAAGTTAAGTTCTTAATTACTAAAAGTTCCATTTGGACTTTCATTGCCTTCTATCTAGACTAGAAGCTGGAATTCAACCAAGAAAAACTTCAAACAAGAATTTACACTTTAGACTGGAGTACTATGTAATTTAAGGCCTAACTTTTGTTTTGTCTATATATAAATTTTAGTTTTTTATCTGTAATAATTGTATGCTGCCAGAAATTTTGTTAGAGGGAGCAATCTGTAGGTCCGAAATCTGTAATAATTTTTTAATATTGAGTATATTATAAATTATATTGAATTAAAAGTGTGTTAGCCATTATCTTTGTTATGGGAGAGCAGGATTCTTATAGGCTTATTCCCTAAACAAGCAATGTTAATGACCTAGATGTAGGCATATTCCTGTTAAGATCTCTCTCTTTTTTTTTTTCTCCCTCAATTATAGCATTTATCATAGGTTTAAAAACAAAAAATAAAATTTTTACTACCTCCCATTAATATCTTTTAATTGTGCTGGATTTACCTCTTACCCAAGCTGCATTAATTGTCCCTTGCCCGAATGACACTCATGGAACTTGCTACTGTTGTTACATATGGTGCAACCTTTATATGTGACTCAGATTGCAATTAATGTTAATGAGAATATCAATTTAGTCCCTCAATTTTTATATTTTTACTAAAGTCATCTTTGAACTTTAAAAAGTACCACAAATTAGTATTTTAACCCTTAATAATCTTCTTATGCTCTTTACACTTCCACTTTGTCCAGTCATACGACTAAAAATCAACGGCATGTATCACTTACAATGAAGATATATATGCTTCTATGCCTTCCTTTGCCGGTGAAAGGAGGAAAGAATACAAAATAGTAGTGTTTTGGTCTCTATATATATTCCTGCATGATTTCCTAGCTATATGATATCATATGACTAATTCTCTCCTGATCCTCTAGCAGCAAACTTTTTTCCTTAATTCATTCTTCTGCTTCTGCCAGTTGGTAAGTATTACTTGGCTACACATAGCTTTGATTCTTTGCTCTTTTAGTTAAAATATCTCGTTATATATGGATCAGTGCATTTTGGTACTGCTAATTTTTATAATTCTCTTAGATTAGGTTCATCAATTTGGAGGAAATTGAGGTTTAAATTGATATGATTGAGCTATTGTTGGGGTAATGCCCAACTTTTAATTAAAAAACTATTTTTCTTAACATAAATCCAACATCCACGCATAACTTAGGAAAATTGAGGTTTAAATGGATAGTATTGGTACTATTAAAATATTAAAACGTTAAATCTAACAAAATTATGTTAATTTTCTTAGCAGAATTCCATGTAAGTAACTACGTGACACTACATAGACATGACATAACACAAAAAAATTATGTTTTATTACATAATTGACCTCACATCCCTTACTTTCTTAATTTTCTTCTCATCTTGGACAATTGATATATAATGCTCTTTTCCAATTTTTCTATCACCATTTCTGGTTATTAAAATGTGAGTTTTTTAGAGGCACATGGGGTTTATAATATTGTGCTACCTATGCACCAACATATAATAAATCTTGTTAGAAAAACAAACTAAACTTTTTATATTAAAATAATAATTTATTAATAATTAATAAACCCAACATAAAATTTAACTAATTAAATTAATAGTGAAAAAATAATATGTAACAAAATTATATAACTCGAGGTGGAATTTGACCCTACTCAATCGATTTGAGCAAGAATATATGCTCAAGGCTCAAATTTGTATTTTAGAGTTTGACTTTATTTTGTTTATATAAAAAAATTAGTTTTTTTATCTACAATAATTATTTTTGTTATTAAATTTTTTGCCAGGAGTTTTTTGGGAGGGAAAAAACGACAGTGTCGAAATCTGAATTCAAAAAGATTAAGACCGATTAATTGATTTCAAGGAAAAAGGTATGGTACTAAATATTTTTAATTTTTTATTGTTGTTACCATATAAATGTTTTGTGTACTTTTGATTATATTAATCCTATTACCATTTCATTAAGTTTACACAAAAGTATTTTTCAATATAAATGTATTTTTTTACAGTTTAAATACTTAAATTACTAAAATATTTTTAATAAAAATACTCTTCATATTTATTAATTAATAATATATTAATAATTTTAGCA